TGCGTATAAAAGTGTTATGAAAGAAAATGTTAAACATCAACACCGAATAAATTATTGGAATATAATAAATGCGTTTTAAATGACAGCGTATTAATTTTCTTGCTAATTTCACTGTCTTGCAAAATTTGTGATTTGGCAGTTGTCAAGGGTATCTATTTGTGTTACGAGGCGTGGAATTTTATTGATTCAGAAAATACAAATGGAATGATTTTTTATGGTTCTTTAGGAAATATTATCATTATTTTTTTGAGTAAAATAAATGAACCTTTTGAAGTTACTACACTTATAACTTGAAAACCAATAAAATAAATTAAAGGCTACATTTTCATTATACATTCAAATTTATTAAGCATTAAATACAATTATAGGTGTTGTTCAGATGATTATCGTGTATCAACTTGAGTAAATTGAATATTTAGTAATTGAGCTTAATTCAGGTCACTCTTATTAGATAGTGTCCTCAAATTGTTGCAAATGTCTACTATTTTCTCTATGTTTCTTTTTTCTCTAGGTCATTATTTGATTGTCACCTTGTTAATATAATCGAAAATAATCATTGTATAAAATCAGAATAATAAAACTAAATCTTCTAATAAAATATTCATTATCCAAGATTTTTTATTATGTTTTTAAGTAGTTAAATAGATGACATCAGTATAGAAAATAAAAGATTTCAGTTAAATAACAAAATGTCGAACGATTGTCTATATACAGTTTTTAATAGAATGTAGAAAATGATGCTTTTTGAAAAGTTGCTAAGATAATGAAAACATATATCAATTTACTCATAACATTTTGCAATGCGACCAATTCAAAATATGAATATTTTAAATCACTGTTATTGATACATCTGACTGTTTTATTATTTACAACTATATTATCTGTCTATTGTATTCCATATAATAAATAGTTTGTAGGCGTATTTTTATAATTTATGAACGCGAATTTGTTAATGTCATATTCTAGTCTATTTTTTTAGACATTTACCGTTTCATAACTTCAATAAATTCATATTTATTATAACATAATAATAAATTGCGAATCTGTGGAATCTCTGATCATTATCATGAATGTTTGAAATAATCTGTTATTATGCAATTTTTGGCACATTTCTCGATTGAATCGGTATTTAAATTGATCATAAATTAGTAAAAATTAGCGCCATTTGACAAATTGTTATTGGCACCTTGGAACAATTTGCAGAACTACGATTGTTGCAAAATACAGTGATGCAAATATTTTGAGCAACAATTGCTGATTTAGAAGACTTTGAACCCATTAATTCATAAATTTTTCAAGGAATTTGGCAAAGTTGTACGGGAAATATCAAGCATGAGTCAAAGAAACAACTAGAATCATATTGAGCATTTTAATTTTGGAAAATAATGATATTCTTTGATAAATATAAAAAATTAATAGAAAAGTTACATATTTCTCTAATACATTTCAAATAGATATTTTGTTAAATATTTTATTTAAACTAATTTAAAATTGTTAACATGTTTTTATTTTTAAAAAAATTCTCATGTATTATATTACAACTTATGCCTTATTACAATTTTTTTAAAAGATTACTTATACTCTTATATAATATTAAATGAAAAAATCACGATAACTTTAATCAAAATTATGTGAAGAAAAAAACGAGAAATTATTAGAAACGCTTTCATGTCAACTTGTAGTTATTTTTCGAAAAAGCTTAACAATTATTCATAACTTTTTACATGCTAAATTCCTTCAGAATATTACAGTTCTGATTGACAGTATGACAGATTCGGTCAACATCTATTTTTAATTGGTAGGGGTTGGCCATCCTTAAGAATTTTTTTCAGTTTTTAACAAAATTTTTATTATTTTAATTTTTTTATAATTTGTAATTAAAAAGTACATTCAGCTCTAATTTTTTTACCCTCCCAATTCCTGCACCACAAACACCTTATTTTGAAATAGTCATTTTAGTAATCGAATAATTTTCATAAAGATAGATAAAATGCTAAAAGTATGAAAAAATTCAAACATGCTATTTTTATTGAAAAAATTTAAGATGTTTTTTACATAATGCTGAAGCCATACTGCATTCATCTTTATGGCTGTTCTGCCAATTTCTTGATAATCCATCATCACTTGTATAGCGAGACATTAGTATTGTTAGCTAGTTATTTTAATTTTCAAATAAGTTATCATCACACGTTAATTATATCATTGAATTAATTATGCATTTGGGATAAACCGAAAATAACTCTGAATCCTATTATTATACAAATTCATTTAAATATATCTCTTACACCATATTACGTAATGTTGTTCAACTGCACCTCACTTACAATACTTAATATGAATTTTAAATTAAACTTGGCCTTAGTGGTTTATTTGCCGTGTGCACATATTCTCACATATTGTTGTTTACTTATTCGCTGGTTACAACTATTTTTGGCAGAATTCGGGTTTCTCAACGGACCCGTATTCCGTCGACCTTTAAGAGCGCGATTTTTAAATTAATGACCTACCGAAATGAAACTTGATTCGTCCCGCGAAATGCCAAATCAAATTACCTGCGACAGTTCGCATCGATCAATTTGCCGTCAATAGGTAATAAATGCTGCGACATACACGTGCGACATTAACGAGAATTATCAATGAATTAAATTGAATGCGACGATTGATTGTAAAATCACTTGAAACTATACGTACGACCCATTGTACGGGAGAAATACGTATGTTATATGTGTTCAATAGCGAATATGTTCAATTTGCTTTAGTCCTATTATTATGTTGAATTTTTATCATAAGTTTAGTGGCCTAATATTAGGGTATCCATATTTTTTAAAGTCAAAAACAGGGCCGCAACTTTAAGTTTTGCTAATCCAGGAAGAGGTACAATGAGTTCAATATCTTGAATATGATTTAAAATCCATTTTTTTTTATTGAATATTACGTTTTTTATCAGAATAACTGTCTTTTGGTAGGACTTCATTATTTTCTTGTTTGCTATATCTTATATATAAAAATGGAGCGCTCGATCAAATGATTCGGTAAAACTCGAAAACGGCTAAACCGATTTGGCCAGTCTTAGTCTTGAAAAATTCGTTTCAATCCAGAGATGGTCGGAAAGGTGAGATATTATTATAAAATCGCCTAGAAACTTTACGTAATTTAAATAAAACAATGACAACCTAGAAACTTTGCGTAATTTAAATAAAACAATGGACGGTGGCTAATACGTGAAATGCCAAAGGTTTTTGACAGATGATGTTCAATTACGTTTAATAGGATGTTTTACATGAATATTATTTAATTATGATTAAATTGTAGTAAGTAGTTTTGTTTTTAGTTTTATTTATATACAAAAACGTTAGTAAACGGGCCGCAAGTGTTACTAGAGACTCAAAATATCAACTTTTTTGAAATGTTAATATGAAAACGCACTTTTTGGCATATTTTTCTCAAACACGGTGCTCTGAAAGATCTCATTTGTATAATTACATACTCATTGGTATTTATAAAACATTTTCTAGGTTATATTATTTTTTATTTATGTTATTTAAATTCAGAACTTAATTTGGTATCGATCAAATGGACATTTTGTCGAATAACATTTTCCCAGTTATAATTTCCCAGAATTTATCGAAAAATAGGTAGTAATATATGAAGGTCCGGGATTAAAAAGGTCCACCACAGATGTGTGAAAAATCAGTAAAATTAAGCATTGTTTAACAGCAATATTTAAAAGTTGAGGAAAAAAGATGATTGAAAAGATACATTGAGTTGAAAACGGTAATTTTTGAAATGGGGGAGGTGAATGGTAATTTTTGAAAATCCATAATAAAAGTATTTTCTTCCGTTGGTAGTTTTTTAGCATTAGTTAAAAATGTAATTATTTTGTAAAATACCTTTAAAATTATAATAAGGCTTTAAACCTTTTTGCCACCTGCCCGTTTCAAGTTACCACGCCTATAGGGTAAAAAGGTCTAGATAACAAATTTTTGAAGGACATCAAAAAAACACATTTCTACAATGATGAAGTAGAAGGCAGTTTACTGAACGTAGTCAGATAATTGTTCGTTTGATGTGTTATTTGTTGTGATATAATTATTATGGTTTTCACAATATAGTTTATATTATATTTGCCCAAAGTCAAATTGGACCTTTGTGCCTCGCCCTGCTATATATATACTTTTTATTAAATTTACTTTAATTCATCGAATGTTACTTGAAACTTTTCAAAAAGTAGGTATATATATATATATATATATATATATATTAAATACATGTGAAATTACAATATCTGTTTTGCCGTTTTTTTAAGTAATGATTATTTAAAAAAGAAAGGTCGTGCATTTCATGTATTCGCAATAAATCAAAATCTATATAATTAAGTGGGCGACTTGATTGAAAAACTCAGCACAATTTATTCGAACACCTGTAATTAAATTAAAATTTTACTCAATTCTGACTGCATCTTCAATGTGTTTGTAAACGATCTGCATATGTATGTTTAAATAATTATATGTATTTTTTATTAAAAGCCTATTGACCATTTAGCATCGCATCATTTATCATCGTCTTGACAAATTTATGTTAGAGTAAATATCAAACTTGCTGTTTGATTGATTGTTTGACCTTCGAGAATTTTTGTCGTGTATTCATTATTACTATCTATATGTGATAACTTGTGACATTTTTAGAAATTTCTAGTTTCGTGTAGTTTTCTAGGTTAGAGAATATTTGGCGGACGAAAATGTGTTAATTGAATTTTTAAAAATTTGCAATTTTATGAATGAAATCGAGAATTGAAATATTTGCAAAGAAGTGTGACCATGTTTATTTGGTATTTCCACATTTTATATACATTTGCAGATTTGAATCAGCAACATAATATTAATAATAATTAGTTATATCTATTTTAGCTTGAAAATATTTCTTTTGAGCATTATAGTGTAATATTGGACACAAATATTTATTAATTATTTATTGTATTTAAATTTTTTTTTCTATTTCAGTTTAGATACTGCTTAGGCCATGAAGTGTGTTGTATGATCCCAGAAAACTATGACGGTAATTTATTGAATATTGATTTAACTACATTAACAATATTATAAGTTGGTTGTGGTTAACATTTTTATATCATGCAATTTACTTTTCAGTGCCACTAAACTCTGCTTTCACTACTCAATATCCTGCCATAGGTAATATTTCTATCTTCATATCAAATGAATTTTAGTAATTTATTTTAATTTCTAATAGTTGTAACAGCAGTATGATTAATTTATTACAAAAAAATGGAAAAATATTTGTTAAGATTAATTCTTCATTAAGTTCCAATTAAAAAAAATTAGTCTATAAAAATATATGTTTTTCGTACATATTTTCCTGTAAATTTTAAGTTTTTTATTTGTATTCTCTCTATAGTTAGTTGATGGAAAATTTATTCTGACAATCTTTAGGTAGCTTCTCAACATGTCTCGTTTCTTTAACTTGTAAGAAAATTTATAGTCATATCTATTTCAACATTGCTTACCTAAATATAGCGTTTACATACACATTATTCTCTACAATTATGCATCAATATCTATTTCACAACATATCACAAGCTTGTATCAGCAAAATATACATTCATAACAAAATTAAAATAAGATCAGGAAATTTACCCGAAGATACTTTCACGTACAAGTTTATTGAATCAGTTTCTAGTTTATTAAGCCTAGCTCGTGCCGCAAATTTGATTATACTATGACTTCATATTCATTCAAAAATTCATCTTTTGCATGTAGCAAAATTATATTTGAATAAAAGAGGATTTTAAAAAGCTTTAAGGACAGCTTTTCCTTCAATGATGTAGTAAATCTGGTTCATAATTAATGTTAATTATGAGCCGTCCATTTCTAACTTCACATTTTTGTTAATTGGAGGGATTTTGTTAAATATAAGTTTCAAGTTATAATAAAATTTAAATATTAAATTGAGGAATAAGTTACGATAATTAATATTTTTGGAATAAAAATTCAAATTTTAGCGACTGTAGAAGCGCCTTTAACTCTTCAGTATTGTAAATATAATTTTCTTAATACTTATACTCTGACATTTGCATTAGTTCGATTATATTTTGATATTGTTTAAACCATATTACGTTATTATATTCGACATCTAATTTCAGTGCTCAACTTGATAATATTTCTCTGGATACCCTTCTGGTTATTTACCTTTTTTGTTTTCTATGTTATATCAAAGTGGTGCCAAAACCATTTCAACGCCTCGCAATTAATTTATTTTGCTGATAATGATCTTTGCCATATATTATTCTTTATTTGTATAATTTATATTTTTTCCAAATACAGACATCAGATTTGGAGCTGAAGATCAATATACTGCTGCTGGAACCCAAAACGTTGAATCACATGCTAAGTTTGAACAAGGTTCTTCCAAAAATAAATTCGGAGCCAAGCCTCCTCGTCAAGCACCTTCTTACACCTCTCAAGGTAAATGATCATATAATTATTGTCAGCTTTTAAAAAACATCGTGGTATTTTATCAATTCGTGGCGGTATATTAAAACTTAATTTCAACTCTATGTACATTGTAATACAAAAATTTCGCAGTAGTGACAGCTGATAATAATAGTTTTTATTCAAGAAATAAAATTATTATATGCATTTTAATAATAGTTAAAGATTGTAAGGTTGTTACTACCCAAGATCAATTTCAGATCCCCCATATCATTTATATAGAATTATCAATGTACTTATGAACAAAACATTTTTGGACATCATCGATATTAAAGATATTATAAATTAATTAAAGAAATACATTTCACATCCAACATAATATTCAAAATTGACTTGAGGTAGCCTCAAACGTAGTACATTTTAATAATTTGATAAAAAAAGAACATGGTTTTAAATAATTTTTAAGACAGTTTTGTAACAATGCAATTGAAATATGTGCTACAAATTATTTTATATTCCATTACACCAAAATTAGTACCAAAAATTTATATTACGCCAATGAAATGCAATAAGAGAAAACAAAGGAGTGGATTTATCCATAGATTTTTGATAGACCAGAGATAGATTTAAAATAAAAATTATTTCTTAGTTCATACTTGATTTAATAAGATGTATTACATTTATGTGAGTAGTTAATTGTACCTTGTGGTTGCAGATGATGCTGATGGCTATCAATATACCAAACCCACACAAGGTTATTTGCCAGCCGCTTCCAGCGTTGACGAGGCTACGAAGAAACCATTCAAAGCTGATGCCTACATCCCACCTGTCGATGATGAAAGACATTTCTCAGGTAACTACCTAATCTACTGAAATATTGAAGAAAATTGCACGGAAAATCATATTCAGTAAAGCATTAAGTAAATTTGATTTTTAATACCCATTTATATATATATATATATATAATATAAAACAACAGAAAATAATGATAATATTATGAGGAACTGCATAAAATTTTTAATCATATATATTCAAAAATTTATTAACTTTGATAGAAAATCGTAATAAATGTGACTAATAAGTAAAACAGTTTTTTAATCAAATAAATAAAAACTATTCACAAATTTTCAAAAGTATTTTTCCTTTAATTGTATGCATAATATGTTAAATAATACAAATCTGTTTATAAAATCTTAATACAATAATTTGAAAAAAAAATTATAAACTCTTTGTTATTCATCTTGATGAGCAGCACTTTTCAGGATGTCAATTTCAATTAATACTGAAAAATTCATATGATTGTAAAGTAATAATAAAATCTTGTACAAATATTTCTGGGTACTGACATAAATATTAAATTTTTTCATCTCTTTCTATTATATATTTTAGAAATGACTTAAAATTTTTATCACAATATTGTATATATACTTGATAGAAATATTTATTAATGATTCTTAAATATTTTAGGCTCCAAAATCTCCGCTGGCTCCATCCTACCACCCAAGCGTCCAGTACCAGAAGAAGACAAACAAGCAGGCGGAACCAACAACTCACCAACTGTAATCAGGCCACAACAACAAAATGGTAAATAAGAATTTCCACTTATCAAAAATTGAAAAATTGGAGTAGAAATAGGAAAAATAGCTCATAAAAAAGAAAAAAACATATCAGTCACTATTTGTCAAATTATTTATTTTTATTCATAACTGATGAATAGAGATGTAAATTCTGAACCAATAGTTCTGTATCGCAAAATATAAATCAAGAAATCATATATTGTTACTTACTTTTTTACAAAATTGTGTAACCTATCACAAATAGTTTTATAACTAAAAGGAAATTTATATAAGTGATCTAAACTAACATTTAATTAACATTTTCAAAAAGTTTTTCATATTATTTTTCACCAGAAGTGGCGCCAGTTCCTCTTCCTCAACACGGTTGTGCAGCAGCTTTGAAATGCGTCAACATCGATTTCTGCACATTCGAAGGTGTAATTTCAAAATCTACTGTCACTCTTACTCCCAGGCAAAATGAATATAGAGTACCACTAACGGTAAGCATAAAATGTATTATTTTATTATTAATAAATATTTAGTATTACTAAAATAAAAAAAACTCACTGAAAAATTAGTGAAAATATTTGTTATTTTGCCTAAACTGATCCCAAACTCCCAAGATTGATTTTTAACCTAAACCTTTGCAACTTCAGAAACTGTAACTTTCTAACCAGAGCTTTATATTTGATTTATGCATGAAATTCGATAACATTATATTTTATCTTTCAGGATTGTCTTCTCCCAGAATCCACAAAGGAATCTCCTCAAATTGGAAAATGTTGCCGTGACCCCGACTACGTTGACCCATGGCCAGCAAGTCAACTTGGTCAATACAACCCAGATCTTGGAGGATTTGACAATGGACAATACAAAGGTGAAAGATACCAAAGCAAGCACAGGCAACAACCTCAAGTCAACAATAATCAACAGGTATAGTCGATAAAGATTAAGTTAAGATAAGGTAGATGTAGTAATTTTTATACCTCTCTGTTGTTGTTGTTTAGTAGTTTCTATATAAGGAGAAGTTGACTCTTGTTTTAAGCTTAATTATCTGATCATTAGGTTGATATGAAATTATCAGTTTCTTACTATGAATTATATATAAAAAGCATTTAAAGTTCATTTCATTGGCAAATAATTATTTCAAAGGCTTTAAATTTTTGTAATAATGTGAACCCAATATATAGATATTTTATTTCTCGTCAATTCAGTTTATTATATTTAATATTTATTAGATTTTTAATATATTTTCATTATAAACGCCGTATATATATTTAATAACAATTAAGAGTATTCTTTAATATATGTATATATTATCGGTAACTATTATTATTATGATCAGGAGTCAGCTTCTTTTTTCTATTTAGAATAAATGGCTTTTGGTGCTTTATTTTGGTTATGTATTACTTATCACAATATCGACTATTTTATCATCTATTTCATTGACTCTAAAATCATAAACCATAAATTTTTTATTCAAAAATGATACTGGTTTTATGATTCTAGTAAATTTTGAAACAATTAGTGAAATGGGCAACATATCTCGAAAGTACATTTTTCGAAATGCATTTTCGATTTTGTGTTGAGATTGTTAAAATTGCGATATTGTTGTCTTTTATTGTATAGATATTTGTTAAAATAAGTCTGTAGATTTAGAAACCATGATCTGCTTATGTATAAGTCATTTATTCTCTAAGTGATATATTTTTTTATTTCCTATATGACAAGATAAAGTTAATATTAGTTAATTGATAATTAACATATTAATATGTTTACCTCATATTGATATGTTTTTAACCCATACAATTAAGCTCTCTATAAGTATCTACACATATGAATATGAACTGTTATATTTAAATAATAAAGTAAATATATATATGAACAATCTTTTATATATATGAATGTATATGTGGTCATACTTTTGTGTCATATCATACAAACTTAATCATGAAGGATCGCATCACATACAATTTCATATGTAAGAGACAGAGATTGTCAAACATTGCAGCTACTACTTTTTATAAAAATATGACGTGTTTTGCCTGAAGTTTGCATATATTCGGATTCATATATTTATACATAGGATCATGAGTAATACCATTTTGTCATGGTCGCAAATAACTATATTATTGTGTATAATGATCACTGAACAAGTTCCTTGAAAACAAGATCATAATTTGTCTGTACATAAATTAAAGATTTTTTTCAGAATTTTTACCAAAATTTGTCAATTAAAATTTGAATATTTTTTTTATCTTTGTATATTTGTATGTATTTATATATACAAATTACGTTAAATGATCAACTTCATTACCATATTTATTATTCAACAATTTCATATATTTTCAATACCAAGTAATTTTTTCAGGAACTGTCATTGTATCAAGTGATGATTATACATAATTACAAAAATTTGCATAATTTTTGACATATTTATGGGAAAATTATGCATTTTTTATGCGATACTTGTTTACATTATATGATAGTTAATGAATTCCCTAACCCTTTAACCTTGGCCTGATTTTTTAATAGCCTAGGCGACACTAAAAATGATTTATGACTTAATAAAACTGTCATGTTGAATTCATAATTATATTAAAATTATTTTGTAAACTTAATCGCTTTTGGCCATCAATGGAACTTGTTGTTCTATGATGATCCTCATTTATAGTTGTCTTTGTGATAGCTTATAACTAGGTTTATTTCAACATAGTCATTTGACTAATTCTATTTGCATTATTTATTAATTCATAGCCAAGTTTTAAATTTATATTTTTTTTCTTTAGCAGGGTCAGTCATTGTCTGGCAGCAGTTCTCAAGTTCAGCAATCTCAACGAACTGAACAACCTCATCGACCACTGCAACCACAGCAACCCCAACAACCTCAGCGACCACTGCAGCCCCAACAGCCTCAGCGACCACTGCAACCTCAGCAACCTCAACAGCCTCATCAGCCTCAGCAACCACAACAACCACAACAACCACATCAACATCCACTTAGTCCTCAACCATCTAGTCAGAGACCTCAGAGCACTGTCTATCAACATCAACAGCAACAACAAAATACTCAGTTCCAACACACAACGCAATTCCAACAGAACACTTATCAATCATCACCCAGACCCCAGCAACCACAGTTCCAACAGCCATCTTTCAAGCCCCAGGGCCAAATTCATCAAACCGGTTCTGGTTCTTTGAGCTCAAACTATCATCAAACAAATGTTCAACAAACTCAGTTCCAACAAAATAACTTCCAGTCATCACCTAGGCCCCAAGTACCACAATTCCATCAAAATACTTTCCCAACTACATCAGTACCACAATTTCAACAGAACACTTTCCAGACAACATTGAAACCGCATGTGCCACAATTCCAACAGAACACTTACCACAGCACTCAACAAACTCACTTCCAACAATCTACTCAGGTACCACAATTCCAACAGAACACATTCCAAACCACACCTAGACCTCATTTTAACCAACCATCTCAAAGACCACAAACACCACAATTCCAACAAAATACTTTCCAGACGACATCACGTCCTCAATTCCACCAATCATCTAAAACACCACAGACCCCGTCATTCCCTCAAGATACATATCAGTCATCACCTAGACCACAATTCCCGACTACTGCCAGACCACAGTATACGCAATTCCAACAATCAACCACCGGCCAATATCAATCAACATACAAACAAGAATTCCAGACTACCCAAAGACAAGACTTTAACCAGTTCCAAACTAGTCAAAGGCAAGATTTCAACCAATACCAGTCTACGCAAAAGACAAACTTCCAACAAAATGTTTTTGAATCTAAATTCCCAACTACGCCAAGGCCACAATTACCACATTTCCAACCAGACGTTTCATACACAGGTAAAAATACTCTTAATAATAAAGAAAAATAAACAAAATTTAGATCTCACATTAACTAGGTCAATTTTTAAACTCATTCAAATGTGATAAGAAGTATATGTTTAAATTATTAACTTCCCGTAGGAGAAGTTTATGTTTTCATCAAAAAATCCGAATCGCTAATTTTATGTTTTCTCGACGTTTCGAGCCATTCTGAATCGAATGAGACCAAATTTGGAAAAAGTATGTGTGTGTGTGTGTGTGTGTGTGTGTATGTGTGTGTGTGTGTGTGTGTGTGTGAACAGATTTTTTGCCGTAAATCGACGTTTTCTCCAAAACGGTTGGACCGATTTCAAAAATTTAAAAACCATTTGATGTATCTCGATGAGGACTATCGTCTCTGAGTTTTGTGCGGCGATCGGCCGGGCCGTTTCTTTGTAAATTGCAGAAAAGTGAAAAATTTTTCGTCCACGTTTTAGCCCGCAATTCTGAATCGATTCTGAAAATTCAAAAACCGTTCGATAGATATTGGTTGGGAATCGTGCTGATTAGTTTTTGGTAAAGATCGGCCGGACCGTTTTCTTGTAATAAAGTTTTTAAAAAAAAAATTTTGACGATTTTTATGATTATTTTTTTGACGATAGATACCATAGCTTTCTAGGTCATACTAAAATATTACGGCCCTACGACAACTGGTTCAGCTTTAAAAATTCGTCAAAGTTTGCAAAAATCAGTATGGTCTTTTTGGCATTTGTCAAAATTAGACTTTTGATCGACGTTTTCTCAAAAACGCCTGAACCGATTTTAGAAATTTAAAAGCCATTTGATGTATTTCGGTGAGAACTATCGTTTGTCAGTTTTGTGAAACGATCTGCCAAGCCGTTTCTTTGTAATTTGAAAAAAAGTGTTGAACTTTTCGTCCACATTTAAGCTCATCCTACCGAACCGATTTTGAAAAATCAAAAACTGTTCGAAAGATATTAGTTGGGAATGATACTGATTAGTTTTAGGTGAAAATCTACCGAGCCGTTTTCTTGTAATTAACTGTTGAAAAAAAGTGTTAAATTTTCGTCCACATTTAAGCTCATCCTACCGAACCGATTTTGAAAAATCAAAAACTGTTCGAAAGATATCATTTGGGAATGATGCTGATTAATTTTAGGTGAAAATCTACCGAGCCGTTTTCTTGTAATTAAATGTTGAAAAAAAGTGTTAAATTTTCGTCCACATTTAAGCTCATCCTACCGAACCGATTTTGAAAAATCAAAAACTGTTCGAAAGATATTAGTTGGGAATGATACTGATTAATTTTAGGTGAAAATCTACCGAGCCGTTTTCTTGTAATTAAATGTTGGAAAAAAGTGTTAAATTTTCGTCCACATTTAAGCTCATCCTACCGAACCGATTTTGATAAATCAAAAACTGTTCGAAAGATATCATTTGGGAATGATGCTGATTAATTTTAGGTGAAAATCTACCGAGCCGTTTTCTTGTAATGAACTGTTAAAAAAAATGTAAGCCGATTTTCATGGAACTTTTTTTGGCGATATACATCATGGTCCTATAGAACTTACTGTAATATTACGGCCTTATATTATTACAACAAGTAGTTTAATTTTAAAAATTCGTCAAACTTTGCTAAAATTATTATCGTTTTTTTTTTAAAGTAGGATTGATGAAGTATATTATTTACACATTTTTTTGATCAAGTCGATTATTTACACATATCGGGAAGTTCATGTAATTTGCCTCAAGGCTAAATACCAAACCAACTAGTTTTTATTTTGAGTAATAAAATTGTTTTCAATGTTTTATAAAGTGATTTTAAAATAAGTACTTTTTGAGATCAAAGAATTTTATTAAATTGAAGTGTATTAATCATTTATCTAATTATACTCATTTTACGATTAAATACTTGTAGGAAACTCTGGACAAAATGAACCACCAAAGAGCAGTTATGACGTACCAGAATATTCGGCTACCGGCAGCAGGAACTGCGGTTTCAGAAACACGGTAATAATTATTTAATTTTTATCTTTCTCTTCATCAAACACAATTATTTATATACAATTATCTGATATAGGATCAAATTCTGTATTGTTAAATTGAAAATCTACTAATTAGAAAAAAACATTAGAAAAATAAATTATTGCCAACCTAGACAATTCAAAAAAGATTAGGCTGTATTTTTCGACGTCAAATATTGGTTAAAAATCGCTTTGATCGGTTTTGTGTAGGTTTAATGATTTATTTGATATACGCATAATTATTCTTACGCCTTTTTTTCATATCATCTGAATTCAACTGGTAATTTTCCATTAAATTAGGAATTAAAAATACATAATTTTGAACTACAATACTACATATATTAAATTAAATTGAATAAATAACCAAACGTCTTCATACCAGTCATCTTTTTATATTTGCATTTTTCATATAATTTTAAATTAATTGGTAATTAATTTTCAACATGAAAATATAATTAAATTGAATAGTAAAAAACCATAAATCGAACTTTTTATATTGTGATCATGATGAACTATTTATTGATTCTAGCAAATGTTTTTATAAAACTACTTCATGATTTACATTAAGTTTATTTAAATTAAACAATTAGATTTAAATTTCTTATTTTACTTATTTGGATTTATAATAATAAAATAATAACTGTTTGTAATAAAATAACTAAAAATAAGTTAAAATCACTCACTCGTCTTGGGTAAATTACACTTTCAATTTTTCGTAAATATATTTATAACTTTTATTTTATTTTATAATTTTCCCTATAATGTGATGAGATTGATATTTCAATTGAACTAACAAAATAATTTACAAATAAAAATACATCTTCAATTCAACTTTTTTAGCATAAATTGAAGAGTCTGTAATAGATTCTACTTTGTTTTACTATGCATTACTATTTTACACATTTTGCTTTTGAGAATAATTGAATAAACAAGTGTTTAGTTCTTAAGATGCGCAGAGATATGAAATAATATTTTTTGAATATTACTTGATACTCTAGTTTTCTACAGTGAATAAAATATTGTTTTATATTTATAAGTAATCGTACTTACAATGACTGAAAATGCATTAATTACCATTGAACAGATGTTAATTTTTTATATAAACCAGCTTATTAGTTCATGCAATATACTGAAAACAAATACTTCTCGCTTATACTAAACATTATTATTTCATCATATTTTCCTAAATATTTATAAGGCAAAATATTTCTTAAACTTGGTATATTTTTTATCAAGTATGAGGTGAGATTAAAAAGGTTAGCTTAGCTTAGTTTTGATTATAGATTTTTTATTTGTGTTGTGTTAAAGTGCTGCAAATATATCTATTTGCTATATAATTTGAAACACAACAATAACAACAATAATAACATAGAAATACAAAGAAATACATAGTAAATTAGGTTTTGATAGAAGAAAGTAAATATATTTTATTGTGCTAGGCGGTATAAAGTTATTTTTAAATGAATACAAATAAATTATATATAAAATAAAATTACTTAAAATTGTTTTTGTGTATCAAGATATAGAAAATATAGTTTGCGAGTAAATAAAATATCTAATCTGAGCATATTTTTTAGCAACTAGAGGAATCAGGCTAGATTAACAAAATTGGATAAACAAGAATGTTAACAAATCTTCATTAAAATATATTTTATTATTACCATTCAAGATATTTCGATCATACTATTGCATAAATAGAATGAAACAAATCTGAATTGTTAGTAATTACGATTTTGTAATTTGTTTCCAGAACGCCTCTCCAATCGGTCCGGGCCCAATAGATGGTTCTTTCGGTGAGTTCCCTTGGCAGGCGATGGTCCTCTTACAGACGAACAAATCTCTTCTTTGCGGAGGTGCTATCGTTGAGCAAGATGCTGTTGTAACTGCCGCTCATTGTGTCAATGGGTATGAAATATTTAAATTTGCAATCATAATGAGTATTTGTTTGTTTAATAATACATGCAGGTTTTTTTAGTTTCAAGTTATGGCTTTATTTAATTCAATTGTAAAAGATTTGCTGAAGTTGTTTCTGTGGTATTGAATAATTTCACTTGCCGATGATACTTTCGATGGGATATAATTGGATTTATTAATGAGAATTTGTTGGCATTGAATTTAAAGAATTTGTTCAAGTGAAAATGAAAAAAATCGCTATTTTTGCATTCAGATTTTTGAAAGGACTAAGAAAAACAAAACAAAAATAGTATATATGGGATATAATTGGATTTGTTAATAAGAATTTTTCTGGCATTCGATTTATAGAATTTGTACAGGTGAAAACGAAAAAATTCGCTTTTCTGGCATTAAGATTTTTGAAAGGACTAAGAAAAACAAAACAAAAACTAGTATCGATATATTTTGTGCATTACTGATCAGACGCATAATTATTCTTAGGTCTGCTTTTTATATCATATGAATGCAATTGGTGATGTTCATATCCAATACATTTGGAATTGAAAATACATAATTTTGATTTACACTACTTTTATTAAATTAAATTAAATAAATTATCATAGGTCTTCATAGTTATCATTTTCCTTATTTGCATTTTGCATATAGTCTCAAATTAATTAGTAGTGTTTAAATCTGTTTAATTTTCAACGAGAAAAATATATTGTTCATATAAATTACTAATTTACACTATTATTGAAATGAATAATAAAAAACCGTTAACTGATCATGATGAACTATTTATCGATTCTAGCAAATGTTTTTATAAAACTACTTCACGATTTTTATAAAAGATTATTTAAATTAGATAAATAAAGAGTTGCTTTTTTTACTTATTTGGATTTATAATAATAAAATAATAAATTCTTGTAATAAAAATAACTAAAATTAAGTTAAAATCATTCACTCGTGTTGGATAAATAGAACCTTCAATATTTTGTAAATATATAATAAATTCCCTGATATGTGATGAGATTGATATTTTAATTGAACTAACAAAATAATTTACAAATAAAAATTCATATTTAAAAAGGCTGTAGTAGATTCTACTATGTTTTACTATGCATTACTATTTTACACATTTTGCTTTTGAGAATAATTGAATAAACAAGTGTTTGCTTCTCAAGATGAGTAGCACATCTTGAAAATATTATTTGCAAGCTCTTGACCTAAAAGCGAAAGCGACTTTTTCAAAATTTGCAATTGAAATATTAATTAATATTTCAATGTGTTATGAGTAAAACTTCGTAAATTGTTCATTCAGAAGCCAAGTCTATTAGAAATGTATCAATATAATTCTCCAGATTGAACCCCAACGATGTCCTGATCAAGGGAGGTGAATGGAAATTGGGAGTTGATGATGAACCAAAAACATTCCAAATTGTGAAAGTAAAATCAATTTCTTTCCATCCTGCCTACCAACCAACTGATTTGTTGTACGATGTCGCTATTTTGCATCTTGAGGAAAAATTGAGGTATGTAAAATCATAAAATTGATTTTAAAATTTTAATATTGAGCCATTTTCAACGAAATTATCTAACAAAATTACCATGGCCTATGCGAAAACTTTCTTGATATTATTGCAGAGATAAACGTGTTAAAATAGATTTTTTTGTCTGAGCTATAACACTCATAAACAAAACAAACTAATACAATTTGAGTTCCTGCACATCCTAAAAAGTAATATTTTTTTCGGAATCGTAATTTTGTGGTCATTTAGGTTTTTTTATACAATAATAACTGTTTATTGATATATTATTAATAAATAGCAATACATCAACATTATTAATGCATACACTAATCATACAGCCATAAAAATGTGATTAGAAAAAACACTTTCAAATTTACAATTTTTAATTACGATTACAGATTTCTTATCATGTATACGCAATTTTTTTTTAATTATATCTAATTAAAATACTTTTAATTAAGCTGTTTCATAATTTAGTTTCCGTCAATAATACAGCAAAGTTTTAACTAAAAATTATAAATAAATTTTCAATTGAATAATACTTATATCTACAGTTGAAAGTTTTGATAAATAAGCGTATCACTTTCCTTATATATTTTTATTTAATTTTGGCAAAACTCGAATATTTTATTAGAATATATATACATGAGATTTTTTTTATCTCTTTTATTCACAACTGTCCAGTAAAGGACATTCAATAAATTTGATGAATTTACAATAGTCGGCCGAAAAGGGACATTGTATACTAAAAGGACATGTTGGAAAAAACAACTTAGTAGTTGTTTTTCCATTCGGTATAAAATTCACAATATTTTATTGATAATTATATAATTTCAACATGAGAAATGATAAGGAAGTTATTAACGTTTTTTTAATGACAGTTACAATTTTAAAACTATATGTATAATTTAATATAGAACTAACGATAAATAATACTTATCTCCGTTATGGCCATCAGTTCCTATCGATCATTCAACTTTAACCCACGTATAATTTTTTTGGGAGCAATTATTTTATAATTCGACATCATTATTAACGATATTACATTAATGTGTCAATCATGATATTATTATCGATGTTTTGAATTTTAAAACATGCTATATTTAATGACTTTTATATGTTTTTTTTTTCAAATCAATTAGATTCGACACCCACATTGGTTCCATTTGCGTGCCAGAAACTGACCAAGAACCCGAACAAATCGTTCAAGAAAGCAAAAAGTGCGTGGCTACTGGATGGGGTAAAGAAACTCTACAAGGTAATGACTGTTGGTAGTAGAGGTTAATTAATTTGATAATAATTGTGTTAAAGAGACAAATTATTTTATAGTAGGACTTCTAAACTTAAATATTTTTTATTTGAGATAAAAAAATATTTAATGTTGTTAATCCGAGAAAATCGAACGATTTTGGTGTAACGAATAGATGAAACCAGATTCTTTTGATGTGATATCAGGCCTGATGATAATTGAAATTAAAAAAAAAAATTACACTTTATTCTTTATAATATGATTAGTTAATCGTTAGCAAATAAATTTGCTTCAACATTTTTGAATTGATATCACATTTAGATAATTTAAATTATATTTTATACAATATTTTTTGATAAGTTTGTCATATAGACTTGCTTATATGCATAAAATGTTTTTTGAATTATCCAGAATCTGGTTTAATACTTTAATTTCTATTTATTAAAAGTAATGTTGAGTAAATTCAGAACCCAAAGAGACTGTTTGATCTTGCCATTCCAATTTTGAACAAAACAGTACAATGTTCGACTAATAAATTTACTATTTGAAAGCTTTAAAATTAATAATTTCGATATGAGCTTTAAAATAATAATTCGAAAAAAGTTTATATCGAGCTAAGATAATATTTTAATAAAATTATAATTAGTGTGCCAAAATAATTTGTACCTAACAAAATTGTATAATAATTATTGTGATCTAAATTCATCAATTAATATTCTTGTATAAGCTCGTACAGAGTTTAACATGAATTTTTATGCCTAAGAAAATTTATAAAGAGCTTTAATACTAGAATTAGTTTTTGATAATTAGTAGGAAATGTTTATGAATAATTAGAAATTTTTAATAATATAACAACATGGTCAAGATATTTTTGTGACCTTGGCAAAAAAATCTATAATAAATTCATGTAATTAATTGCTAAATTCCATTAAGAGATTCATCTCTAATGTGTGCTTCAGATGCATCTATAATTAACTATAGGAATCCAGTTTTTTATGATGTTACATATTTATACACACCGTACGTAGCCTACGGCATTACGCTAATTTAAATATGTTGTTTTTCTATGTAAAATATGTATAACAAATTATCCCCACACTGCGATCCGATGGTTTTATTATGTATAAATAAATGAATCATATGAAAAAAATAGCGTGAAATAAATGTCAAGTTTATCACAGATTGAAACTCGTTTTTTATATTCACTCTTCAATGTGGCCTCAATACTTTACCACCCACATTTAAAAAATTGGAATTCACTTTCAAATGGGCGAATCGCATTTGTTTTGGATTTCATTTAAATCGTGCTGCCATCTCAGAATGTGTTTTTCGACTTCTAGCGGAGAGCTAATGCTTTTCCCGATAGATTTTCCGAGGTTTTTCCACAGAGCACATTGCTTACATATTTTTTAACAGTCTGTGATACAAAACAAAACAATCCAACCGGTGTGTTTGTTCTCAACAACCTACAGAAACTATTCGAACGTGGAAATGTAGTTTTACTGGAAAAGAGTGACTTTCATCAAAATATTTATTTTGAAATATTTCTTCTTCTGAGGTAAATAAATTTCAAACTTTAAGTTTACTAATTTGCTTTTGACCGGATTTTTAACTTGCAATTAGAAAAAAATAGAGCTCACCAAAAAGTAACACAATGGCATAAAATTCACTAATAACGATCGTAGAAATTGTGGGTTTGTAAGAGTTATGGAACTGGAGGCAAAATTGAAGGAGTAGATAGTTTTTTGCATAAAATTTAATTTATTATAAACTTAGTTAACACTGTTTGTAGCGTTAGTGTTTTAGTTGGTTAAAGATTATAATTAGAAAGGGACGTAGATAGAAAATACTTATCTTTGAAACAGCAAATAATGCTTTTGAATTGAATAATTTTGCTATATTTTTTTGTTGCTTGAATTGAGAGCTAAATTGAAAAAATCTCAAATTTAGCATAATGAACTAATTTCATAATTTATATAGATTAAAAATCAAACACAATGGCGTATATTCTTTATTAAAATTTTGTTTAAAATTAATTCAATAGCATACAGAATATTTATTATATACAAAATATTTGTTATACATGTGGTTTCCCTATTTATAGTGTACAGCTTCATTACGCAGTGCATATTTTCTGCATTATAATACATTCCATACTAATAATATTAATTTTCCAAATTGATGAAAATACTATCAGTAATTAGATGCGATGGAATTCTATAATTATTGTATTACATAATTAAATATGTGTATTATAATTAATTATTTATTGTACAATGAATAAATATTTCTTTTGACCTTTTTACAAATATCAAAAAACCATCGATTTCAAAGTAGTATTCATCAAATTAAATGCGGCAAAAAATATGTCAATTAATTATATATTTGATTATTGTAATTATTGCTGAAATACTGATAGAAGTGTAAAAAGAATTTAATTATTATATCAATATTATAAAATAAACTATATAATATAATAATTTGCCGAAAAAAATATGTAATCATTTTTCAATTAAATAATTCAGTTTTTTCATAAAAATAATCTAAACAATAACACAGGCCAATAAAAAAAATGTCTATTGAGCGACATATGTTTCCCAATATAGCTTTTACCGTTGAACATGACTCTAAAATCAAAATTGGGGATCAAACTACAAAAAAAAAATGAGAAAAATAAATAAAACATCAAAATTTCTGATCTAGTAATTCTTCTGCATGATAATTAAAATCTTATAGTTTGTATTTCCTGACAATTTTTACTTAAAATTACTATTGAGTTTCATTTAAATGATTTCTTGAGTTTTTTTGTACAATGCAGTTATTATTTGCTTTCCTGAGTAATCTTCAAACATATTTGAATTTAATATTTAAAAATGTATTTGCAAACTGTTGATCAAAAATTTAATAGATCATTTAAGTGACACTCCATAGCCATTTAGGGTAAAAAGAGCCAGGAAAACGATAGAAATTATATGATTTTCATTATCATGCAGAAGAATTACTAGATCGGAAATATTGTCGTATTTTTAATTTTCTCCAGTTTTTGTAGTTTGACCCCCAATTTTGACTTTAGATTTGTGTTCCGAGGTAAAAAGTACATGAGAGAATATAAGTCGCCGTCTCATTGCAGATAACTTTTTTGTAAATTTTTTTATTTATACACTTCTATCAGTACACTCAGAACATTTGCAAATTTTACAAAATATTGTACATACTTATAAATAGTTTTGTTAGTAGTGGTTAGATATTACTAATGCAATATTTAGCGGTGTTAAAGACCAATTAAAAATATATAGTCCACACTCGTAAAATTAGCAGTCACTGATAACACATATTGTTAAGAGCACTGTTGATATTACACTGACCGTTATTGAATCGATTTCTTATCTAACCGATATTTTACCTTTCAAATGTGTCAATCGAGCAGTTCACCTGAAGGACAGCATCATTCACAAACTGGACATCGATCTGTTGCCGAGCAATCAATGCGAAAATAGGAAATCGTACTACTTTGGCGCGAGCTTCGACCGCGAATCCGGTTTCTGCGCTCGGCCCACCGACAGGGAGGAGAACATCTGCGAAGTCGACTACGGAAGCGCTTTGGCCTGCGAGAAAGACGACGGAAAATACTATCTGCAAGCCGTTTACTCATGGGATAGCGGTGAGTAATAATATTAATTTTATAATATTTAATAGACATACTAATTTTTCGTTTTAACGAAATATTCACATTTTAGATAAAGTAATATAAGTATTGTTTTAAATATTTTTGATATTTCTTCAAAACTTTTTTCAAAATTTGTATACATCTAACAAACATAGTAGTATTACGTTTTTCTTACAATTTTGTATAATGAATATGATTAATCTACATAATAGAGCAGTCAATTTCCTAACATTCATTCAAGTAGTTATTAGGAAATTTAGGAAATTATTTATTTATTTAGTAACTACCTTATTTCATTTATCAAATTATACCTACGTTGATATATACTTAAGGGGGTATTCTAATGTAGAGCGATGAATTTTAGGTCATTTTTAAAGTGTCGTAAAAGAAAGCAATGAATGTTTTCACTATCCATTTTTTGCCACTTGTTCATTAATATTATTAAAATACAAAATAAAAATTAAAAAATGAAAAAGTTGAAAATTGTAAAAACTGGCAGCTGATGAAGTGGGTGGTCTCAAAAAATTGGCACCTCAGTCTTGACATGATTTCAGCCCTCCTAGCGATCGGAAATGCAAAAAATAAATATAATATTAATCTACAATGATGACGCAACCGCCCAAACTAGCGATGAGTCAAAAAAATTTTTTTACAAATTTGCGACTGTTTGAAAAAAAAAAGTTTTTTTTTTGTTGTTTTTTTTGAGTTTCTCGAATTTTTTAAAAATAGTAAAAATTGGAATTTAGGGATAATCCTAGTTTGGGCTATAGATAGGTCCATAAACAAGACGCTCTGAACATTTCAAGTAAATCGGTCGATTAAAACTCGAGAAATCGTGTCAAAAGTACTGAAAAGTCTGTTCTGATAAAAACGCATTTAAAGTTTAGCGTGAACCAGTATGGAGACCGAGTCAGTAAAATGCCTATATCTCCGAAATTAATTCAAATTTTCAAAAACCTTCTCGTACCCATATTCTTAGATAGTTAAACCTTGAAAATATGAAATAAAAAAAATCGATTTTTTTTTTAATTTCTACACTAGAATACCCCCTTAATATATCTCAGTCACTTCGTTTGGTGGAAGAGATTACAGTAAATATTTTTACAGAATTTGTAAAAGTTGGTTCTCTTATCTATTTACAACAATTGCCACAAGATAAACAAATTACCATGCAAAAATGCACAAATAAAAAAATAAAATAACTGATGTTTCTCTGCACACGCATGAAATTTCTAATTCTAAGTCGTTTCTAATACGTTTTTAAAAATTTGTGATTGAATTCAATCCGGTAGCTTGTTGTATAAACGGTTCGAGTTTCTCAGTAAATTCGTCTTTTTTAGTTTTTATGAATTATTTAACGTGAAAATTTAATATCTGCCAAGTTCTATGATCATTACTATCTTGTACATTTTTAGTCAAACTACATTATATTGAGATCAGAGAAACACAAAATCATCATAACAAAAATCGCGGTTTTTTAAACTTTTCTAATGTGTGTTAAAACTAAATATTACAAAGCTAAAGTGTATTGATATTATTAGTATTTTATTGGATTTATATATGTTATGTTAAATGATCTCACATTACTTACAACACATAATACAAATAATTTTTTATCAATTTGAATTTGCTCATAAATATAGATATACATCAAAAATTGTTATTCAATTCAATATGTTACATTAAACATGAAAATAATTTTGTTTTATCCAAAATGAATAATTTAAATTCATTATTTGAAACGCATTAACTTCTTTTTATTTGAAAACCTTTTCGATTGTCATTGGTCAAAACAAATATGCGGAAGCTATCGGTTGGGATTATATGCAAGTTTTTTATCACAAAAAAACTAATTAAGAGTCATAATTCAAAACAACTGATCTATTTTAGCAAACTTACTTGATTTATTCATTACTGAACGCCTAAACCGCTTTACATTTACATGATATTATGAAGCTGACGTTTATAGTTGATTAAAATTTTAAATGTAGCATCTTTTTTTAACTACTATAACTACATGATTTATGTTTTGAATGCATGTTGATTAAATGTTAATATAATTTTAGGTTGCCAAGCCAGCGAGCAAGTAACATCATTCAGTAAGATCGACTCTGCCTGGTTGAGGAAAACTTTAAAAAATCCACAAGAAAAGAAGCGATACCCCACACCAAAGCCACAGAAACCTCAATCCCAATCAACTCAACCCGCCTTCGAACAAACCCAGAAACCTTATCAACCAACACAACAAACATTCCAGCCCCAAAAGCAATACCAGCCAACTCAAGCCACATTCCAGGAGACGCAGAGACCTTATCAACCAACATTCCAAGATACACAGAAACCATATCAACCGACACAGACTACCTTCCAAGAAACACATAAACCATACCAGCCCACCCATGGAACATTCCAAGATACACAAAAGCCATATAAACCAACTCAGGCTACATACCAAGAAACTCCCAAACCATACCAACCAACTCAGGCTACATACCAAGAAACTCCTAAACCTTACCAACCAACCCAAGCAACATATCAAGAAACACCAAGGCCTTATCAGCCAACTCAGGATAGGTTCCTTGAAACACAAAGACCATATCAGCCAACTCAGGGAACACAAAAACCTTATCAGCCAACTCAGGCAACTTTCCAACAATCGCCAACGCCATTCGAGTCTTCTCGAGTTACATCAAGGCCACAGTCACCATTTGAAGTGTCATCAAAACCGCAATTGAACTTCGAATTACCAAAATTCGAAGCACCTCAACCACAAGCAACAAGTGATAATTTCTTGAGGCCGCAGGAACATGAAAATCCATTCAAAGGATCGGCAACACAGGGTCCAATGTACTTACCACCTTTACCATAAAAGGATGGATTTACAAGTAACTAATTTTACTTCATATTAGAATAGATAGCACGGCGTGCGTAAATTATTCAAAGTAGTTTTATGTTTACCGCGAATATACTCATTTTATTTTGAAAGTTACTTAAAATTCGTGAAGCTCATATTAAATTCACTTATTTTGAACGATTTTCGAAGATTAAAGAATTTAATGTAGAATACGTACTCATAATCTGTAGCCTTATATATTATTAATAAGCTGTTATGTTATAAGAGATCATAGTTTTATATTTATCATTCTAATGGAGTGTGATCTTGTTTGAATAATTGATATCGTGAGACGACTTTAAAAATCCATCTTTAACTAGATGATTAAATAATAGTGAATCTAAATTAAATAGTATTAATAGACAAAATCGAAATACTCATACAAATCATCTTTATTTTAAATATCAAAATATTTGAAAATATTTAGAATAATATTATTTATATTTCAAAATATATTTTAGCAAAAATAATCTATTAATATATTGCGAAATAAACAGTTGCGTCAAGAGAACTTTTAATACAAGACATTAAATAAAAATAAGTTCATTTGTATAAAAGTAAATAAATATTATTGTTATATCTTATGTAGATAATTATAAAAACCTATATTTTTTCTATTATCTGACTAATTCAGATCTCATCTCTTAAGTATTTCTTATACAAATGTTCTTATTTTTGCATCAGATACTGCCAAGTAGGTAAATATATATTAAAAGTTTGTTCTTGTAAAACTGAATAAGTTAGGCGTTATTAAAATAACAAATTATACGATTTGCAGTGTATTATATATTTTTAGTTTAATTTTGAACACATGTATGTTATTAAATAAAAACAAAATCAAAAATATTTTTCGAACGTGTTTGATGGAAAAATCATTCATTATTCATCATTCGCAAATCATCAATTCATCTCGATCATAAATTATTTTAACAGGAACGCCAATATCAGTGACTCAATTCTTTGCAAAATCGTCATCTAGTGTGAACGATTTTACGTTAATTTATATAACAGTCGAAACCTTTATCTAAATACTTATTGAATAAGTTGATTATTCACACGTTTCGGGAAGTTCATGCAACTTACCTTCAGGCAAAATGCCATTTACAACTAGTCATTATTTGGATTCTGCTATTGCTAGATCCATATATTGTAATATGTTTTTTCGTAAAATATTACCACAATGTTTTGTTCAACAAAAGCGAATACTCAAAAAGTGATTTTGTATTGAAAATGATGTCTTATCTATGTCTTCAGTAAAGTTCCGATATAAAATAATAACTGTCACTCATACGCCAACGTTGTGCGCTTTTCTGTCAATAACACATGTGCTCTCATAACAAGATCTTCATTATAGAAAATGAGGGAAAATGCAAGCTTTTGTTCTCAGAATCTATACATGATTATTTTTATCACCTTATTTCATCTAAAGCTTGTTATAAATATTATACTATTCTTGGAGAACTGCACAAATATGGCGTTCGGTGTTTCATTATATATCATGGAAGATTTCCAACTTTATGGGGTAGGTTGATATTATTATTATTGGAACAAGGTTATAGTGTGGCATTGCAGTATAATTGTAATTGAATTTTGACAACATATGAATCAAATTTCACACCAAATCCATCGAGAATTCTCTTTAAATTACCGCAAAATCAAATAAAACACTGCACATTACTTAAGTTTAGACTTCTAACTTTAATCATTTACTATTTATAAATTTTAAATTTACTATGTGTAACTATGCAAATTCTTTACAGTTGCACTTTTTATTCCTAATGGGTTTCCTCTGTATTTCTAATGGTTAAGTTGGTGGATACTTTCATATATAAAATTAGGCCAAGCGCAAAGTTTGATGTAATTATTTATTCGTCTCCTGAGAATAGAATTATCAACTTTAGTATTATGGCGGTAAATGACAAGATGGATTAAAAGTTGCAGCACATAGTTCATAGTTGTAAAACATTGGCATATCCTGAGAAGTTCGTATTAAATGTTATCACATTCAGTCAGTCTATTTCATATTTGACCGAGTTTTTTGAAATGAAATAAAATGTTGTCTCATATAAAGTATATGCAAAATATAATAATATTCACGAATACTAGATTTCTTTTTTCTGAATTCTTAATTTATTAGATAAAGTTATAGTTTGAGGAAACATTGAAATTACAATATCTGATTTGTGCAATAATTTTTCAATTTTTCATACGATATAATTCTTTATTTGGTATATTTAAATTCATATAATTAAAAGACTTGTAAATCATTATTAAGAAAAAATTACGCATATACAAACATTTAACATTCTCAAATACTTTCAAATTAGTACATACATTTCAAATTCTTACTTTTAACCTAACCTGAAAATGGCGTTGAAATTAACATACATACATCGTTACTCTAACCAAGAAATCAAGTTTTTAATGTAGAAACGACGTACATCATTTACAATAATATTTGCTATAACACAAAAAGTTATATTTTTTTACAGAATTAATTCGATTTATATAAAATGTAGCTCACGATGAAAATTTTAATGTTTCAAGAATAACTGTGTTTTCTAAAGTACAAATGAGAATAGCTCACTAATAACTTGATAACTTATATATACTTCGATAGGCAAATTAATTCTATAAAGATTAATTTAAATACTTATGCAAGGGGTGTGATAAATTAATTATAATTTCTATTTTTGCCACAGGTATATAAATATGATAGATTGTGTTATATCGATATCAATTTATATCTTCACAAACCTAAACACACGTCGTTGACAAATAAGCATGCACCTTTCACGTATCCTATATTTGAAGTTATTGCCAATTACATGAATTGCTCTAGCGTGAACTGATATGTAATAAGCATCATATATGATCTTTTATACACACAAATATATATATATATATATATATATATATATATATATATATATAGGTGTGTATACCAAGAACAGGTTAACTACTAGTAAATGGATATGTGGATATGAATATTATTGCTTATTAAAACCTTACAATAATGATAAAATATAATTTATCCTATTATTGTTTATTATAACTAAGCTTCGTATTATAACTTCAATTAATATTGGTTATAAATATTATTTTATATATTATATTAGTTGCATAACAAGGTAATGCAAATTAAATTGATAAAATGGTATAGTATTCGAACTAAGTTATAAAAATATATAACTATTTTTTTCATTCAGTCTTTTTTACATAACAATAATGGTATATTATATTATATGTTATAATATATATATATATATATATATATATATATATATATATATACATACCTTTTTTGCTGTACTTTTATATTCATATATTTATTATCCATTAGCGTCCCTTCGTATAAACAAATGATTGCCGAGGTGCCAACTGCGCCGCCTTGCGTTGGCGTCCGCAAATTAATTGTGATTGATTGCGGATTTAAACCACACATTCATCAAAAAGCAGACTTCTCTTGAATATGTTCAAATATATATATATATATATATATATATATATATATATATATATATATATATAGTAAAATGCTGCATTTGTTGTGTGATCCTATAGGCGGACAAAAATTACCTGCTTACAAAAAAGTCGAGCCTGTTTAATAAATTCGATATTATCAAAAAGTTTCAGCAACTTGCCTTAAACTACGTTCCAATAACCACTAGTTATTGATAATTATATAATATTTAAATAATATTTATATATAATAACATTTAACTGTAATTTTGCTTCAATTGCTTTGTTTATAAATTCTCATCTTTACAATGCATTGTTAGTCTATGATTGTTGCAAATATCGCAATTTTTGAATTACTTTGACATTCAGTACCTGTATTTTGAAGATACAGCATCAGTGGGAGACCCGGGCGCCAACGTACCGGGTCGTATAGCTGGAATCTCCAAGAAACAAAGGTTACAAAAAATAATAGCATGATTGTGAGTATATAACATTCAGAACTCAATCAGGATCTACAAATATTCTATGTGATTGTAGTCAGTTTAACAGTTCTAAACAAATTATTATAGAAAATTATCATTTAGGAAACAAATATTACAAAAGAATTATTTAAAATTTTTTTTGAATAAGTTGAAACATGACAATTAAAACCAAGAAATTTATAAATGAAGTAGTTTTTGAAAGCAATCAGAACTTAGAATTTTATCAACTGGTGTTATTGTTAACTACGCGGCTATTTAAAGACAACTTAATGATTAGCCTATTATTTATATTTGATATACTTTATTATTATAATTTCTCTAATAGTGATGTTATATTTTTAATTTTGTACAGCAATACGAGAAAAGGGTTCTTTTTAATCGTGAACTTACTTCAGATAGCACTTACAGCTTGGCATTAGGCTGCAGAAATCAATAGGAACCAGCATCGCAGTTTTAATCCGCAAATTTGAACATACGGCAACTTATGCTAAAGTTGTCACTAAGTATAAAAATTCAAGAACAGAACAGTGATAATATATTTTTATTTTTAATATTTCAGATATGACTTCTGCTTGGGATGAAGCTGTCCGAGGCCGAAAATCAATAGCAACCAAAATCACAGTTTTAATTTGCAAATTTGAACAACAACATATGCTGATGTTGTCACTGCCTACAGAAAATTAGAAACAGGTAATAACAAATATTTACTATAATAGTTAACCAAAAAAACGTTCAGTTTTGGCGCTTTTTCCTGTTAGTATGTGTGATCCTGGCCCATCAAGTTCATATATAAGCGCCCCGCAGCGTAATTAAATCTTTCGCTAAAATAACTAACTTACAAACGGTGACACGTATTGTTCATTTAGACTGAACGGAATAATGCTAGGATTACGTTTGATTAGCGGGAATGGGGTCTTGCGAATACCGTCGACCTACGGAGTCCCAGTGGGATACGCAAAATAGAAAAAATAATTAAACCGGTTATTATGTGTGGGATGCCTGTGTGGTAGATATATCAGATGGGATCAGATGAGCATAATTAAGCACATATGTACTTTTCGAACTTCATTTCATTTTTGCGTTTATTTTTATGTGTTTTGTTAGAAATAATAACATAAGGCCGGGCAGGAGCTAAAACTTTGCATTATATAGTTGCAGTGATTGTTTTCTATATCAGATGCCTTCGAACTTGTCACATAACCGATTGAAAGTTTAGTGAATAATTATTTTTAAAGAGTGAGAGCGCCGTTCTGGGAAAATTCTATTGACACATAATTAGTTTTTAATTATCAAAACCAAACAGAAATTTGTTAAAATATTGCTAAGAGCCAATTCTTC